ATTCTTTTGTGAATTCTCCTTGCACACTTATTAAAACTGTGATTTTTTTTTTCTGTTAATCTGCCTCTGTTAATTTGGTTATTGGTCTAGAATTTAGAAGGTAGAAGTAAAAATATTAATATTATTTAACCCCTGCATAGCTTTAAAAGGGGATACTTTAAGGTGTGAGAGGTGTGAGGCATTCTTATATTCTTTCTCTTTCTTTTGCTATAATCCTCAGTCACTGAGCAAGAATTGTGCTCATTAGTAGCATTCAGTTCATGGCATTAAAATGAAAACTCCAAGAAGACAAGAGTTCTATCTGTCTTGTTCTTTGCTATTTCTTTAGATACTAGCACAGTGCTTGTCATATGGTTGGTGATCAATAAATATCTTCATGTGGTATCTTTACCTGGTATTTTATTTTACACTTTCAAATTTTTCATATGAAATTTGTGAATAAACATAAATTTTATATTTTTATTTTAATGAAAATATATAAACTTTTTTAAATTTCTAAAAGAAAGTTTATATGTTAGTAATATTTTTATGACTCATACTAAAACTCTGGTCAAGTCTGCCTGCCAACCACTCTTGCTTTCGTAGCTGTGTCTTGTATCATAAACAAAGGTAAATAGATAATCACAAAACCACCAGAGTGAGTGAGCCATTTTTTTTTCAGAATTTCAAATCACATTGAACAATAGTTTTCCTGGTTTCTCTTAAAACAGAGTAGTAAAAACACGAGCATATATTTAATAAGAAATATAAAAATAAATATTTTTTTGTAAATTTTCTCTCCTATTTTAATAGTCTTTATTTATTTGTTTTTAATTAATTAACTAATTTTGGAGAGATGGGAGGGAGGGATAAAGAGAGGGACAGAAACACCTATGTGTGAGAGACACATCAGCAGGTTGCCTCTCACATGCCCCTCTAACTGGGGACTTGGCCTGCAACCCAGGCATGTTCCCTGACTGGGAATTGAACCAGTGACTCTTTGGTTCGCAAGCCAGTACTCAATCCACTGAGCCACACCAGCTAGGGCTAAAATAAATATTTTTAATTAAAAAAACTATTATCCAGGCTACTGGGATTATAATCAAGGAAAGAAGGAGGGTGGTGACTTGTTTCTTACACTCTGAAATTCTGGGCAAGATCACATTATTTGTCAGGCTCTTTGAGTGCTAGATCTATCATGAGATTAGCTCCCTGCCAAAGTCTAAAACAAGAGGAATGAGGATATGAGGATTGTCCTCTCTGAGGCCAAACTCCCTTAACATTCTTAATAAGAAAGATACTTTATGGTATAAGTAATTACCTCATCAAAACCAATACATAAATTAATATGGTAGTGGAGATGGGATTATAAATAGGTCTAAGTACTTGCAGTGTTCCAGGAAGGTTCAGAATGAAATATTGTGGTGTGAGGATAGACTTTTCATGCTAGTGTCTATCCTGGTCATACAGGTAAGCTTGAGGTTGAAAATATTTTTTCTCTGTGGGCCTATCAAATTATTTATTGTAATGATCTTAGAGTCACTGAGTCCCATTTTGGTTAAAAGAAGGACAGTCTTTTCTGGATGACTAGAGGGCTTATTGCTATATAAACTTGAAGTAAATAAAGACCCAACTTTCCTGTTTTATACCATACTATATTCACACAGACGGGCGTGATGCATTGTATATACATTAATTAGTACTACTAATAATAAATTAATAAAAATAGTGTTACAAAATAATTAAAATGAAAGGACCAGATAATTAAGAGCCTAAAACCAGTTTTAAGTATAGAAAATAAATTAAAGCACAACAAATAAAGCCTGGATGACTAGAGAATAACAAAATTTTTAGAAATATAAACTTCAAATCTCAACATTCCAATACAGAAGCAAGCAGGGTCCTGAAAGATGTGGAAACACTAGAAATCAAGATTATTCCTTTCCATTGCCTTCTGAGACTTGATGTCCTTTGAAACGGTATGTATGCAGATATCTGAAGAGAGAGATCATTTACTGTAACCCACCTGAGCACAGAATTGGTTAATCGCCCTCAGGGCTGGGAATGTTCATTTACTCTCAGCTATTTTGCTTCTCCTTCCCATGGCCTTTCCTCTCTTGGTGTTCGCCTACCCAAGGATTTATATATTTCTATAATAACCTCATCCATGCTTTAATAAAAAGGGATCCACTATAGTCTTTAAAATAATGTAATGAGACCATAATTACGCATGGTACAATTGTTAAGCTCAAGGATTCCAAAGTTGAATTTCATAATTGTAAGTTATTTAAACACCTTGTATACTATCATAGAGTTGGTACAAAAATCAAAGGAGTTCATTTAGTTAAAACTGTTAAACAACAGAATAGTTTTAGTTCATAATGGCTTTATCATTTTGTGGTCAATAAAACACTGCTTTCAGTAAAACTTGAATTTTAAAAGAATATGTGGTGAGCAAACAAGACAAATGCATTCTTCCTTATTGGGTGCATTTCACCTGGGATGAGAGATTGGGCAAATGTTAGAGGCTTTTCTCACCGCTGATCAAATTTCATCTCACTGGAGGTAAGCTTTTTCTATCTAGACTTCTTTCTCGTTGAAGTTCCCAGAAAGGATGAAAAAACAAGTTGGACAAGAAGGGCCTGTCTTGATGTTTAGTCCCACTAGAGTCGGGGAGAGACAAAAAGAAACAAGAGATTTTATCTCCTAGAAAACTCAAATCCACATTATTTTTTCACAGAAGAAGAAAAAGCACACAAAAAAGAAAATAAATAAATTTCTTGTGTGTGCTTTCTCTTCTGCAGCAAAATGGTGGTTTGAAGATTTATACTTAATGTTGCAAACCTTAACATGGTGCCAAGTGCTATCATAGTTTTCAGTTTACTTAGTCACATAATTCACATTAAAAAGAGTTGATATTTCTGCCTATAAGGAGTAAAGTAACCCTGCTCCAAAATGAAGTTTATTTATTTGTTTTCTTCATGAGAAAAACAAAATGGAGGCAAAAAGAAGCTCCCTCTGAGAGGGAAATTCTGAAGACATCTGTCACCAGTCATGCTTGGGACAGACAGCTAAGAGAGCTATATGTTAAAATTCCCACATCTTGCTAAAAATGGTCACCGCTTTTGTGAGAATGCCTATAGAAAAGAAAAATCAGAATATTTACAGGGATTGCTTTTAGTCTTACATAGGTATAATATTAACACTTAATGGTTATTGATTCTACAAAGCTTGTAGTGCAGTTAACAAGAAAAGACATCATTTTTTACTTCATGCACATTGACTCTGAAAGTTATATTATAAAAAAGGACAGCTTTGTTTTCTAAAAATAAGACTACCTGCTTTATTTATGTTCTGATAAAAGTGACCAAATAAAATAATATTTTAAGAACTTACTTTTTTAAAAATATCACCTTGATGTGAAACTGCTATTTTACTTTCCTTTAAAATAGATTTCAACATTTTTAAAATTAAACACTTTGGAAAGAACAAACAGTAAAAATAATTTTTGTCTAATTGTTGTTAGTGTTATACATTAAAATTTATTTTTAATTTAAATATTTAGAATCAAGAAGCAGTACAAAACATAAAATACCAAAATCCAGGTAATGATCATCTATAACTAATCAATGTTAACATTTCCATATTTTCCATGTACTTTTATAAAAGTATTTTATAAAAGTATATATGCTATATAGTATTTTAAATAAATATATAGTATTTATGTTGTATTCTTATATAAAATATTACAAATACATTTGAAGGTCATACTACTCTTTATAGCGTTTCCAAGTTGTATTCTGCCTCTTTTCTTTCCAGATCAACCAACTAACATAAACGTATGTCCTTTTAATATATATGTGTGTATATATATATATATCTTTACTTAATATATAGTATTATTTTTATGTATTGCCAAACTTAGATAAAAGACATTACTCTTGATTTTGCTTTTTTTTAAATTACTGATTTATTTTTTAGTTCTGGCCATGTTCATACATATTCATGAATACCTATTTTTTCAAATTGTATTCTACCAAGTGAATATACCACAATGTATTTATATATTCCATGTTGATTGATTTTTAAATTGTTTTCAATTTTAAATTCTTACAAAAATATTTCACTTGATATCATTGCATATACCTACTGGTATATAAATTCAGAGTGTACTTTTTCTTTTTTAAAGAATAATAGAGTTAGAATATCTGGGTTTTAGATTATAAATAATTTCAAAATTATGAGAAGTGATGGCCTCAGGAATTTGTTTTATTTCACTAAGAAGGACAATAAATACTATCATTATGAGAATGGGAACATATAAAAAGTAATATATCTTAAACAAAGAGGTAGTGTGGTATAATGGTTAAGACCATATGCTCAAAATTGAAACTATTCTAATTTGCATCTCACTATTATTTATTAGCTGTTTGAATTTGCACAGTGACTGAACCACTCATCTTCATCTTTAAATGAAAAAAACAATATTATTATGATGATTAAAAATATAACACAGAGTAATGCCTGGCATTAAGTAAGCCTTCAATAAACTAATTATTGTTATGTTTGTTATTTTTATTATTGTTTTTATGTATGTAGTTACATTATTCTTACTATGAGTCAGGGGGTGAGAATGACTCCAAAGATTTTGAACATTGGTGGTTATTCTCCAGGTCTTGTAGTCCAGTTTTCTCATCCAACATCAGGGTGTCTCCTAAATAGCTTCCATACAGCATCACTCTCCTTCCCTCATTATTTCTACAAAAGGACACACTCCTTATCTGAGAACAGCTCATCCAGTATTTTAAAACTATAATTGATAGTAAAGTTATCCTGATTTTAAGCTAAAAACCCGTGTCCCCAATATTTTCATTCACCTAAGTATTCTCTTGGGATCAAATTAGATTATGCTTACTTTCTCTTCCACATAACTATCTACTAAATGCTTTAAGATAATATATACTAGCCTCTCTCCACTCTTTCAGCTTCTGTTTCTTCCTAAAATTAAATATCCTGGATTGGTGCTCATGTCAGCAGCACAGACACTAAAATTGGAATGATACAAACAAAATGAGCATGGCCCCTGCACAAGGATGACATGCAAATTTGGAAAGCGTTTCATATTTTTCAAAACAAAGGCCATAAAAAGAGACCCAGAAGGACACTTTATAATACTCAAAGGAGGAATCCATGAAGAAGACATAAACATTGTAAACCTATATACACCCAACATAGGAGCAGCCAAATATATAAGGAAAATCTTGGAGGACTTCAAGAAAGATATAGATGACAACACACTGATAGTATAGGGGATTTTAACACCTCACCATCAAAAATGGATAGATCTTCCGAACAAAACATCAACAAGGTTATTGTGGAACTGAATGGCACATTAGCTCAAATGGACTGAACTGACATGTATAGAACTTTTCATACAAAAGAAGCAAAACATATATTATTTTCAAATGCACATGGAAATTTTTCAAAGATAGACCACATGATAGGACACAAAACAAGCCTCAACAAATTCAGAAAAATTGAAATCATAACAAGCATTTTCTCAGACCACAAGGGCTTGAAACTAGAAACCAACCTCAAGGAAAAAATTCAAAAACATTCACACTCATGGAGACTGAATAGCACGCTATTAAACAAAGAATGGGTCAATAACGGGATCAAAGAAGAAATCAAAAATTTCTGGAAACAAATGAAGATGAAAACACAACAGTCCAAAACCTATGGGACACAAGAAGGCAGTCCTAAGAGGAAAGTTCATAATAATATGGGCCTAACTAAAAAAGACAGAAATATTTCAATAAACAACCTAACCCTCCAGCTTCAAGAACTGGAAAAACAACAACAAGCAGAGCCCAGAGTGAGTAGAAGAAAAGAAATAATCAAGATCAGAGCAGAATTGAATGATATAGAGACTAAAAGAACAATTCAAAGGATCAACCAATCCAGAAGCTGGTTCTTTGAAAAGATAAACAAAATTGACAAGCCTTTAAGCTGACTTATCAAGAAAAAAAGGGAGGGGATCCAAATAAATAATATCAGAAATGAAAGGGGAGAAATAACTGATACCACAGAAATACAAAAGATTGTAAGAAATTACTATGAACAATTATATGCCAAGAAATTTTAAAACCTCGATGAAATGGACAAACTTCTAGAAAAATATAACCTTCCAACACTGAATGAAGAAGAAGCAGAAAGCCTGAACAGGCTGATAACAGCTGGGGAAATTGAAGCAGTAATCAAAAAATTCCCAGCACACAAAAGCCCTGGACTGGATGGTTTCACAGGAGAATTTTACAAAACATTTAAGGAAGAGCTAACCCCTGTCCTTCTCAGACTATTCCAAAAACTTCAAGCAGAGGGAAGACTCCCACACTCTTTTGATGAGGCCAGCATCATCCTATTCCCAAAACCAGATAAGGACACAACAAAGAAATAAAACTATAAGCCAACGTCACTGGTGAACATAGATGCTAAAATCCTCAACAAAATATTGGCAAACCACATCTGACAACACATTAAAAAGATCATCCACCATGATCAAGTGGGATTCATCCCAGTAATGCAAGGATGGTTCAATATTCACACATCAATAAATATATCACACAAACAAAAGGAAAGACAAAAACCACATACGTGATCATAACAATAGATGCAGAAAAAGCATTTGATAAGATCCAGCACACATTTATGATATAAACACTCAGCAAAGTGGGAATAAAAGAGGCATACCTCAATATAATAAAGGCCATATATGAAAAACCTATAGCCAATATCATATTCAATGGGCAAAAACTAAAATCTTTCCCATTAAGATCAGGAACAAGACAAGGATGTCTGCTTTCACCACTTCTATTCAACATTGTATTGGAAGTTATAGCCACAGCGCTCAGACAAGAAAAAAAATAAAAGACATCCAAATTGGAAAGGAGGAAGTAAAACTATCATTGTTTGAAGATGACATGATAATGTACATAGAAAATCCTATAGGCTCCATGAAAAAACTACTCAACCTAATAAGTGAATTTGGCAAAACAGCAGGATACAAAGTCAACATTCAGAAATCAAAGGTATTTTTGTACACCAGCAATGAAATAGAAGAAGAATAAATCAGAAAAAAAATACCATTTGATATAGCAACAAGAAAAATAAAGTATCAGGAATAAACATAACCAAGGAGGTTAAAGATCTATATGCAGAAAACTATACTACACTGAGTAAAGAAATTAAGGAAGATACAAATAAATGGAAGTATATACCGTGTTCATGGATTGGAAGAATGAACATCATCAAAATGTCCATACTACCCAAAGCAATTTATAGGTTCAATGCAATCTCTATTAAAATACCAATGATGTATTTCACAGACATAGAACAAACAACTAAAAAATTTATATGGAACTATAAGTGGCCCCAAATAGCTGCAGCAATTTTGAGAAAGAAGAACAAAGTAGGAGGGATCACAATACCTGATATCAAACTATATTACAAGGTCAGTATAATCAAAACAGTCTGATACTGGCATAGGAACAGACACATAGATCAATGAACAGAATAGAGAGCCCCCAAAATAAACTCATGTCTCTATGGTCAATTAATATTTGACAAAGGGTGCAGCATAAAATGGAGTAAAAATAGCCTCTTCAGCAAGTGGTGTTGGGAGAGCTGGACAGCTACATGCAAAAAATGAAATTTAACCAACTTACACCATACACAAAAATAAACTCAAGATGGATAAAAGACTTAAATATAAGTCACAACACCATAAAAGTCCCAGAGGAGAACATAGGCAGGAAACTCAGATATCCCAAGCAGCAACATTTTCACCGGTATGTCCCCTAGAGCAAGGGACATAAAGGAAAGAATTAACAAATGGGACTTCATCAAAATAAAAAGCTTTTATTCTGTATGGCTAAAGAAAACATCAGCAAAATGAAAAGGGGATCAATGGTATGGGAAAATATATTTACCAATGATACCTCAGACAAGGGTTTGATCTCCAAAATATATAAAGAACTCACACTACTCCACTCCAGGAAGACAAATAATCCAATTAAAAATGGGCAAAGGACCTGAGCAGATACTTTTCCAGGGAGGACATACACAGGGCCCATAGACATATGAAAGGATGATCAGCATCAGTAGCCATCAAAGATATGCAAATTAAAACCACAATGACATCATACCACTTTACAATGGTCAGAATGACCATCATAAACAGATCGACAAACAATGGGTGCTGGCAAGGCCGTGGAGAAAAGGGAACCCCAGCACACTGTTGGTGGGAATGCAGACTGGTGCAGCCACTGTGGAAAACCATTTGGAATTTCCTCAAAAAGCTAAAAATGGAACTGCCTTTTGACCCAGAGATTCCACTGCTGGGATTATACCCTAAGAATCCCAAAACACCAATTCGAAAGAACCTATGCACCCCAATGTTCATAGCTGCACAATTTACAATAGCCAAGTGCTGAAAGCAGCCTAAGTGCTCATCAGTAAATGAGTGGATCAGAAAACTATGGTACATTTACACAATGGAATACTTAGCAGCATCAAGAAAGAGCAAGCTACTACCATTCATAATAGCATGGATGGAACTGGAGAGCATTATTATAAGTGAAATAAGCCAGGAGGTGAAAGACCAATACCATATGATCTCACCTCTAAGTGGAACCTAATCAACAAAACAAACAAACAAGGAAAATATAACCAACAACGTTGAAAGAAAAAAAGAAACCAACAGAAATGAGAGGGAAGGAGGGAGGGGGTAACAGGGAAAGGAAGGGGAAGGGTCCAATCAGAAAACATGTATGAAGGAAACGTGGACAAAGTCAAAGTGGAGAAGAATTGAGGGCAGGAGGTAAGGGTGGGTGGGGCAGGGTAAAGTGGTGGCGTGTAATGGAGAAAAATGTATTTGAACAACAAAAATAATAAATAAATAAATAAATATCCTGAGTTGCTTCAACAATTTTTGATATATGTATTTAACACATCAAAATGTGTATGTTCTAACTAACATAGTTTTAATTCACTACTCTGCATTGACTTTGCTCTCCTAAAATTTGGTCCAGTTATGAAAGCACAATAATACACAGTACAGTGAGAATATTACTTCAATTATGCTAGATAATGCAGATCAATTATTGCGACCTAAGACTGTATAGTACTTTTTAAAACAGAATTGTTACTAACATGGGACTTACTTCACAGAGGTAGATCAATAAGAATCCCTATTCATCAATAAAAAGCGAAAGGGTTTACCTCTTTATTCACGTTTTAGAGATACAGGTATGCTTTCCTATTTTCACTGAAGGAGTAAGAAAAATAAACAAAATAAGAATTGGAAAAAATACATTAATGAAAGTAAATGTTCTAAGTAATCTCATGTGCTACCTAATAAAATATCTAATTCTAGAAATCCAGAAAGAAATAGGTAGGAATTCAGTTTGCTTTATTTTTCATCTTGGACATTACATATACATATACATAGATACACATACATATATATATGTATATGTATCAGTAAGTAGCAATAATTTATAGTCATGTGCCACACAACAATGTTTCAGTCAACAATGGACTACATACAGTGTATCATGGTTGTCCCATACAATTATAATGGACCGGAAAAATTCCTATCACCTAGTGTAGCCTTCATAACATCATAGTGCAACATGTTACTTATGTTTGTGGTGATGCTTGTGTATTCTACACTGGTGTACAGTAATGTCATAGGCCTTCACATCCACTCACTATTCATTCACTGACTCACCCACAGCAACTTCCAGTCCTGCAAGCTCCATTTATAGTAAGTGATATATGCCATAAACCATTTTTAATTTTTGTACCATATTTTTACTGTAACTTTTCTATGTTTAGATACACAAAAAATTTACTATTGTGTACATTACTCAGTACAGTACCGTGTTGTACATGTTTGTAGCCTAGGAATAATAGGCCACACCGCATAGCCTAGGTATGTAGTAGGCTATGTCATCTAGGTTGCATGATGTGCACACGATAAAATCGCCTAACGACACATTCCTCAGAACGTATCCCCATAGTTAAGTGACGTATGACTATGTTGTGAAATGCATTGCCTAAGTGCAG